CACAATTTTCTTTCTCTCTCTCTCTCTCTCTCTCTCTTCTCATTTTTTTGCTCTCTCTCTCTCTCTCTTCCTCTCTCTCTTTGGCTCTTTCTTGCCGACCCTCCTCTTGAGAAGAGAGAGAGAGAGAGAGAGAGAGAGAGAGAGAGAGAAAAGGAGAAGCACATGCACGCACGCATGCAGCGTAATTATGTAAACTATATATATATATATATATATATATATATATATATGCACTAATTTATTTTATTTATTGCTGTTGTAATTTATTTCGATTTAGATGTCGGTATAGGTTATATATGTCTGCACGCAGGCTTGTGTTTCATCTGCCACGGGCCATGTCAGCCATAGATCGACTATATATGTCTGTCTGTTGCCACGCGCGTGCACGGTTCACGCCTCAGTCACAGACCCCTCCCCCTCCCTCTTCCTCTCCCCCTCCCCCCTCTCCCTCTCCCCCCTAAATTCTCGCTGAAGATAATAATTTTATGGAGCACATAGTTTGCTCTCCTACACCTTTATGGCAGCCACAAAAGACTTCACATCAGCAAGTGTGTTTACTCCTCCTACACAGATACCATAATTATAATATCAAGAGCGTATTATGAAGGCTTTTTTATAAGCTCTTGATAATATCAGGAGTAATTAAGATAATATAGGATATATATCTATATTATCCTATAGGATATATAAGCTGCGTTCACACGAGGAGAAAAGTTGCGTTCACACGCTAAAATATACGCGGCTTGCTTAGCCACGTGTCTATATCCTATATTATCTTATTCCTGATAATATGTAGTTTCATTGTATGTATTTATACAATGTATTTTTATTACGGTTCGATTCCAATGCCTGATGAAGAGATGTACATCTAGAAAGCTCGCGTATTAAAACTTATGTTGTTCATGTGTGATTTTACTTCAACATATATATATATAAATAAATAAATAAATAAATAAATAAATAAATAAATAAATAAATAAATAAATATAAATATATATATATATATATATATATATCAGGAGCTTATAAATGAAAATTATATGTAGTGTTAATTTCGCGGAACTGGGGTTTTTTTGTATAACTTTGAGTTCATATATCATCGCACGCGTTGAGTCCTTGTTTTGTCTAACAAGCTGCTGCTCGTATCACACGTGACGCAAGAGCCATCCATACAGCATCCCTCCTCCCTGCCCTGGCGGTGCGGGGGAGAGGGAGATTCCTCCTCCGCCTACTCCTCCTCCCCCTCCTCCTACGCCTCCTCCTCCTCCTCCTCCTCCTCCTCCTCCTCCTCCTCCTCCTCCTCCTCTCTTCCACAACGACGCCTCCTCACTTAGCTCGTGCCAGCGGTGCTAACATGTAGGGACACCTCCGGCTTGTGACTATATCTACCTACCTATCTATCTATCTATCTATCTATCTATCTATCTATCTATCTATCTATCTATCTATCTATCTATCTATCTATCTATATATCTATCTATCTCTCTATATATCTATCTATCTCTCTATCACTTTCAGCCGGTATGCGTGAACCTGTGTTCTGTTTCAGAAAATCGCGTCCATTCCGACCTCCTCCTCCTCCTCCTCCTTCTCCTCCTCCTCCTCCTTTCCTCCTCCTACTCCCAGCAGCAGCAGCAGCAGCAGCAGAAACAGCAGCAGCAAAAACAGTAGCAGCAGCAGCAGTAGCAGCAAAAATAGTAGTAGTAGCAGCAGTAGCAGTAGCAGTCGTAGCAGCAGCAGCAGCAGCAGCAGCAGCAGCAGCAGCAGCAGAAATAGCAGCAGCAAAAACAGTAGCAGCAGCAGCAGTAGCAGAAAAATAGTAGTAGCAGCAGCAGTAGCACTCGCAGTAGCAGTAGCAGCAGCAGTAGCAGTAGCAGCAGCAGTAGCAGTAGCAGCAGTAGTAGCAGTAGCAGAAGCAGCAGCAGCAATACCATGCCCACTATCATCACTAAGCAGTAGCCTTGACAAATTCCATGAACAACCGCTGCCTGCTGCTGCTGCTGCTGCTACGACTGCTGCTGCTGCTACTACTACTACTACTGCTGCTGCTGCTGCTGCTGGTTTTGGTGCTACTGTTTCTGCTGCTGCTGTTTCTGCTGCTTCTGCTCTATTCTAACCCCGCAGTTATATGCAACGACGACTATAGCAACCTCTGCTGTCAACGGCCCCTGGCGTTCGTAGCCCAGCCTTGTACTAGTTTAACGGCCTATGATAACAAAGCGACGTTTAAAGATAGATACGTACACCACCCACTATGCCATGGCTGATATTCCAATGCGGGTACGTTGTACGAAGAGGGCGCTGCAGGCAGTTTGTCGACAAACTATAGCCGGGCAATGTTAGGAGGCGTACAGCAGTATGACTCGTTGCACTATTTGGTCTCTAGAAAATGCATTTTTTTGGCTTTTTCTTCGGTGATA